GGTGCTCCTCGGTTGGCTGATTCTACAGCAACAATGCTGTTTATCCAAATTGAAGATGTTTGCCGGTTGCGTTCACAGTGTTGTTTATCCAAACTGAATATGTGTTGGTGGAAGAAGAAAATAAAAAAATATTAAGATGTTTGAGAGGTCTGCGCGGGGCAATTTATGTGTTCAATTGGAGGAGCCTCGAATGATGCACTCTGCTATCTATTTATAGCAACAAATCCTCCTTAAGATCAAGTTGAAACCACATTCGGATTAGGACTTCTTATTCTGATCTAACTCTATCTCGACCAATCCTACTCTTATTAGGACTTTGAACTCACCCTCTTTTCAAGCCGTATTCATTGCCGGCCGAGAATCCATATTGCATTAGAACCCCTTATCGTATTGGGACTTCGACCCATCACTCCTTCTTGCAATAGGACTCGACCACCTTCACTGAACGACTCAGGACCACTAGGCAGCCCATAGTATATTTGGAAAAGTTTTGGGCCGAACATAAATCTACGCTCGGCCCAATAATATTATTTTGGGCCTAAACAGTTTGATAAACTATACTTTTAAAAGTTTTGTGAGTATAAAAACAGTGCAAAATCTTTGGTAAATTTTGATGTAAAAGTTATATAATTGTATATAATGATAAAAATGGACATGATAATAGGAGTGGTGACAAGGGCAATAGTGGTGGTGGTGACGATGGCAACAATGGTGATGGCATCGACAAAGGTTGGGGGTATGATGGTGGTGACAATATGGGGTGTGGTGGTTAGGTTGTAGGGTTAACAATGGTGGTAGGAAGTTATGGGGGTGATGGCGGTTATAGTAGTGGTAGTGGTAATGGCAGTGGTGCTATAAGGTTAGTGTTTTGTAGTAATAGCTGGTGTGTCACTTTGTTCTCCAAGGGAAAAAGTGAGTATAGAAAGATTAATTTAAAACCAATGAGGGTATTATAAAATTAATAATATCACTTAAAGACTCACTTTCTCTTTTCATTAAAGCATATTTTAAATGCAACTTACAGACTGCTTTTAAAAACTGTTGTCTGGAAAACTCTCCTTATGAATCCATATCCATAGGATACAAGCAAAAGAAAGGAATCCCAAAATCCCGCGGAAAAGAATTCACTCCGATGAGGTATTCAAAAAGGGGAGTTGCGAGCGGAGCACTACAAGCTGTAGTGGACGAGAGAAACTCATCCCTGTTCGTTGGTAAATCTATTGTAGTTGTTCGGAATCGGGTGGTTCCATTGGAAAGAAAGAAGCACCTTACTCGTTAGTGGAGACCACTTGCCCACCCTCTACTTTTAGATAAATACCCAGAGAGTGAATTTTTTGTGCAAAATTTTGGGATTCCTTTCTTTTGCTTGTTTCCTATGGAGATGGATTGATTATATGGTGCTTGTTTCCTATGGAGATGGATTGATATGGAGGGTTTTCACTCATTTCTTCTAAAATAAGTAGAATATTTTATTTTTACCAAACACTTGTATTGGTTCAAACGAAGCAGAATATAAAACCAACTGCCACGACTATAAAATTGAATTCCAGTCTCGACTCACGAGAGAATCCGACCACCGATTCGATTCTAGACCATGACATGCACCTCCCGAAGCCTAACCACGATTTCAAAGTAAACACGCATAGTTCCAGATTATTGACACGTGACAAGCACCACGTTTGTTTCCTCTCGGCCAGACTGAACCTAAAAGTCCTACCCACTCCTTTATCTGAAACCGTACCACCCCCCTATTCGAATGCGACACAATCTCTCTCCTTGATCAGTCCTCATCCAGACTGTTCAAATGTCAATACTACCCCACCATTGCCAACTTCTCTCGCCAAGTACCAATGTCTAAGAAGGTAATTTTAACCATGCAATAACCATCCAAACAGCTAAAAAGACAAGAAAAACAATGAACATAAAAAATAAATACAAAACGACGGATCATAGAACAACCACGAACTCATTTAATACTAAAAATCCAACCACATAACAACGGTCAAATAAAGTCAAACATATCCTTCATCAAAATATTAAGGCTAAAGCTACGATTAGCCTAATCCTAAACCAATTAAAGTCATCGAATCAGACGGTCCGTAAAGGGTCTAAATATTTGATTAAAATCTAATCCAACAGATCGTCATGATATGTGGTGGTTGGGCTAGATGGAATCAGACGGTAACCGGGGCTTCGGCCACAGCGGCCTTCTTCTCAAGGGGGGTGACGAAGAACCAGTAAATGCCGAAAGGATCCTTAATCTGTGCCCAACGCTGCTCGTCGTCAAAGAAAGCACCACCGGCTTTGATCTCCCCAACCGCCGCAGCTCCCGCCTCGACGGCCTTGGACACAGCCGCATCGACGTCCGCAACAGTAAGCAACAGATGCTTAAAACCACCGTCAGCCAGAGCTCTGGTAAACCAAGAAAATTTATCACATCTACAAAAAAATCAAGTGCAAGAAGTAGATCCACACAAATAGACCACATCTTCATAGAAATGTAAAAGAATTTTATATAAATAGCTAAAAATGAAAAGTAAACAGTAAAAAAATATGATTAAAAATCGAAAAAATTCAACTAAAAATCGAAAAAAAAAATAGTAGTAACATGAAAACTACACATACTACAAAGCAAACAGTGAGTTCCAGATCTAACTGTAATAACAATTATTTTAAAGTAAAGTTGAAAAAAAAGCAGAGCAAGAGAGAATGATACGTACGCGGCGTCACCGGAGTCAACAATGGAGTCAGACTCAGTCACAAGGAAGGTGAAGGACCCAAGCTTGAGCTTAGCATTGTAGATGAAGGGACGCTCCTGGTCAGCCTTGCGCTTGAGATCACTCTCACGCTCAAGCTCCACGGCGCCGAAGACGGTCTCGTAGAACTTGATGGCGTCTTCACCCTTGGGTGCCTTGATCGAGAGACGAGGGTAGCACTCCGTGACAGAGATGGGGGACACGGGTGCGACCTTCTCGGCCGCCACGCCTTTCTGTACCTTTTGCTCCGCCATTGAAGCACAAAGAGTGAGAGCAATGTTGAGAAAGGACAGAGAAACCCTAACCCTAGGAGGGAGGGAGGGAGAGAGAGAGAGAGAGAGAGAGAGAGAGAGAGAGAGAGAGAGAGGAAGACGCCAAGAGAAGAGAGCAGAGGACGGAAGAGGCAAAAGGCGTGGGCTCTGGGTTTGGCTTGGGTAGGTGATTTATAGAAGCGGGGAAGCGGAACCGTACGGTTGAGGGTATAACGGGAAATTACGACTGTTGATGTCTTACAGTTGCCCGTGAGTTTGAGAGGAATTACGAATGGTACCACTCCCCGTTTTGGCTTATGTACTTTGGACCGTTGGATTAAGATATTGACCATCTCTTCACGACCTACCTAATGCTACAACAAATAAATAAAACAACAAAGTATTCGGATAAGAAAATGGTGGCCCAGGCAGTGGAGATAATCCGTACATTCTATCCTTTGCCCATGTTATCTTTTGGGTCTGCAGAAAAGAAATAGAAAATGATGGGAACGAAGGAAGGCCCAAAACATAACAAAACTCTGCGTATTTTGGTTATTTTATTACGTTCGTTGACCCTTTGACCCACTGTGTACTCATGCGTTCTATGTCCATGTATAAGTGGGGGATGGTCCACCGTAGATCGTGCAACGTGTCGTGTACTAACGTGTTCGCTCGGATGGAATTTTCCTCCGAACTCTGTAGTTTAACATTGTTGAATATATACTAACACACACACAAAGTGTGTGAAATTTTTTTTTATTTTTTTTTTTGAAACAGCACCAAAGAGGAAGGAAGTGATAGAGAAAGTGGGAATGGAAAGTTTTTTATTTTTTATTTTTATTTTATTTTTTATATTTTTATAATTAGAGATATGTTAGGATCACATGTAGATGAGGTTTTTGAAAAAAAACAACAAAATTTGATTGTGTGAAATTATATTTCTGTTCCATATTTCTTATTTATGTTCTGTTTTAATTAAAGGGTTAAACTGGTAATTTCATAGAATTTTGGTTGACAATGATTGTTTTATTAATTAGTAGAAATATATATTTGATCTCATTCATAGCATGTCGTGTCAATTTGGTGATGCTTGGCATCAACGGTTGGATTTGATGGAATTTGCCTATAATAATAGTTTTCATTCGAGCATTGGCATGGCACCATTTGAGGCATTGTATGGTAGAGCTTGTCGCACACCGTTGTGTTGGTCAGAGGTAGGAGAAAGAGTTTTAGTGGGTCCGGAGATTGTTGAGGAGACTACTCAGAACGTTCAGGTAATCAAGACTAATCTGAAAGCAGCACAAGACAGACAAAAGAGCTTAGCGGATCGGCATGCTACGGACAGAGTGTACGAGATCAGAGATTGGGTATTTTTGAAACTTTCACCGTGGAGAGGTGTAGTGAGATTCGGGAAGAAAGGCAAGTTGAGTCCCAGGTACATCGGACCATACATGGTCACGGAGCGGGTTGGTGAGGTAGCTTACAGGTTGGAGTTGCCTCCGGAGCTAGCTAGAGTGCATAATGTTTTTCACGTGTCTATGCTCCGACATTATGTTGCTGATCCATCTCATGTGATACCTCCGCAACCTCTGGAGATTAATCCAGATTTGACGTATGACGAGGAACCAGTGACAATCATTGATTGGAAAGAGAAGGCTCTGAGGAACAAGACGGTGAATTTAGTGAAAGTTTTGTGGAGGAATCATTCAGTTGAGGAAGCAACGTGGGAGACAGAAGATCGGATGAGGGATTTGTATCCTAGATTGTTCTTTGGCTACTAGGGGTTGTTATTTGGTTGTTTAGAATTTCGGGACGAAATTCTATTAAGGTGGGTAGGTTGTGACATCCCGTCCCAAAATTCTTCTTAACGTACGTGTGAAATTACGATATTGCCCCTAGTTCGTTTTGATCACGTTATTGGTTGTCTTGTGTGGTGTGGCATGTGTTGGACCACACACACACACTCACACTCACTGTCATTTTCCCTTTTTCCTCTGTCTCTTCCCTGTCTCTCTCTCCCGTGTCTCCCTCTTCCTTCCCATCACCATAAACGTACGGACACACACATAACTACACCAAATCGACCCAGATCGAGGAAACTAAAGGCACAGCTGAGATCGTGAAGCTTGTGGGAGCACAACCGTACCATTTTCAGGTAAGAAATCCATCGTTTTCACGTAGTTTCGTCAATGGCAGTTTGGGGTACTATTCATGCAAACTTAATTCTTTACGTTTTTGGGAATTTGAAGTACATAGATAGCTTGGTGGTGTCCCAAGGAGTCTCGAAGTAGCTCGTTTGACGAATTTGGACGTCGGGAAAGCTTGGTTCGAGGTTGGCCGAGTTTTGGAGCTTTGGACAGGTGAATTCTCGTAGATTTTAGCCTTTAAAACTTGTAGGATCGTGTTCTACTAGTCCTAAGGGTTAAAATGGTGCAAAAATCTTGAAAAACGGTTGAAAAACGAGCGAGAAAACCCAAGTTGCAGGTTTTCCGGCGACGGCGCCGGCGCCGGCGAGGGGGACTGGCCGGAGAAGAAAGGGGAATATTCCGTTGAGTTTAACGGAATATTCCTAACGGACGTGACGGCGTCAGTTTAGGTTTAACGGAATATTCCGTCAGTTCAACGGAATATTCCTGACGGCGTCACTTGACGCCGTCAGTGTGCCTGGCACGTGGCCGCGCGTGGGGGCGCGTGGGTCCGTGCCTGTTTTGGCGCGTGAGGGCGCGTGAGAGGTCCAAAAATTATTTTAAAAATATGGGTGTGATCGTGAGGTTGTGTAGATCACGTTGGTGTATTCATTTGTCCATTTTGAGCAATGTATGAGAAGTTATTTTGAACGGACGGTTATGTGCTTTAAAGTTAACGTTTTTATAGTTAATTCGCATATAGGTGACACGTATCCCAAGGATGAGCGTGCACACTCGAGGCAGGGGGGCTACGACCCTTCCACATACCAGTGAGTGGGTTTTTGTTTCCGTATACACCTATATACATATAAATTCCTAGAAATTAGTATAACTGCTTCGTTTTATGCCATTCTTTTTATATGATTGATGGTTATGCATGATTAGTGGCATATACGTTTAATTACATATTCATTTATGCATATGTCATATATATATATATATATATATATTGGTGCTATGGAGGCATAGGTAAGTGCCAGGTAAGCGTTATTTAACGATTGCATTAAATAGCGGTTAGAGATGCTTAGAGAGCTCATAACCTGCACCCCCGGTGTTAGTGCTCCCGCCCAGAGTAGGGCACAGTCCTTCACGTGTTGTTCACCTCCCGCACCACACGCTCAGCTTGAATCCAAGTTAGGTGCACAGTCTTGTCGTACAGACCACTATAGGTGGTTCCGACTCGTAGGTGACCCGCGATTATTCGCACAGCCTTCACGTGATCGTAGCACTAGAGCGTTATATGTATTACACCCAGGCCTGTCGTACAGACCACTATAGGTGGTTCCGACTCGTGGGCAGGTTTAGTGATTAAGTTTGAGATTTGAGCTCTAGATTCAGCCGTACAGGTCACTTAGGGGACTCCGGCTGCCAGTGATATGTTATTGATGTGAATTATACCTGAGCACTTGCATACCATTATGAGGCTTTGACATGGTACATTCTTGAGCATGATTGATATACCCTTGAGCATGTTCGGCATATTTATACATACGTATATATGTTTATTTCTGGGAAAGTATACAGGTTTTACGGCGAGGGGTTATAATATGTTTTATGAAATGGTTTTCAAAGAGCTTTGTTTTTGCCCACTCACGCTTTTGTTTTGCGCCCCTCCAGGTTCTAGTAGCTTAGCGGGTTCGGTGGTTTTCCCAGAGGACGTCCCAGCATTCTGATAGACACTCACCTATGTAGGGTCACCTTCGGGTGCACTATTGTCGTATCGTTTCTTTTGGACTGCTGTAGGCCTTAGGCTCTGAATTCAGCGACTTATTTACGCTAGCACATACTTTATCACACTTTATTTGCTAGTTTTAAATTATTCGTACTTTTATATTACTGTTTTTAGCTTCCGCACTGTGCACATGGCTACGTCACTTCCACGTGACGGCCAGCATGCCCTGATCTCGGTTGGGGTGTGTCAATATTACTATTGAACTAATATGTCCAAGATACTTTTCACCCCCTTGCTACCCTATTGAAGAGTTGCAAGGATTTGATGAGAAGAATTGCGCATTGTGAGCTAAATCATATTTTCAGGGAATTGAACAATGTTGCAGATCAGCTAGCCAAATGGAGCTACAATTTAGACCTTGGTTTATATTCTTTTCAGCTTCCTCCCCAATAGATTAGGTAGCATTTGGTACGAAGATAGGACGAAACGGGATAGAACAATATGGAATGGAACGGAACAGAAGAGAGGTTTCATGCTATGTTTGGTACGCACTGGATGAAATGGGACAATTGTTTTGTTTCACATTGAGTATGTGCAGGGCGGAATGAAACAAAGGATTAAATGACAAACGTACCCATGGTTCTCCGTTGACTCAACCCCATAGATTTTATGCATAAATTAGATTTTCTGCAGCCGTCATGGCTGTGGGAAGGAAGGTTAGGCAACGTGGGGAACCATCGTGCAGGACCATTGTCGCCGGAGCTGTGTACCTTATCACTTAACGCGCCACCAAACCTTCCCCAGGACCTCCGGGTATGAGTTGAGCAATGTCACCGCCCACAACAGAGATAACGTTGAAGTGTCCTAAGTCGCGAAGAGGAAGTCGAGAAGGTAAAGGATCTGGAGATTAAAGAGAGGGAAGGGATGCGGTAAAGTATTTGGGAGTGATGAAGGTTACGAAAGAGAAAAAGGTATAAGAGAGAGGCTACGAAAGAAAGAGAGGGTAGAAGCTCTGATTTTTTACGACGCCTAAAAAACGTGGCATCGTCGAGCAACAGATTCGGCCATGTCCTGCCAAGTGGGTGGCCTTAAGGTTAGTGCAGCGGAAGGTGTTGTCGAACCAGCAGGAATGAGGGAGGCGGCGAGAGGAATGCGGGATTGGGTTCGGGTAAGTTTGTTAGGATTAGGTTAGCGTTGGGGCCGATTGGAAAAGGAGGATGAAATCGTTCTACAGGGAAGATGGTGGATAAGCCATGGTTAAGTTACTAGATTTGTGGTGGAGGAAGAGGAGTAAAGAGGGTAGACGTGGAATTCATGAAAAATTTAAGGGGTATTGTTGTCCAAAATTTTATAATTTTGTGTTCCATGGGCTGGAACAAGTTCGTTCCAGGTGGTGAGGGTGGAACCAAAATTTAGCTAAAATCTGTTCCACGGGACAACACGTCCCACTCTTTTTAGTGCACCAAACGTGGGACGAGCGCGTTCCATCTCGTCCTGTCCCACGTACCAAACGATACCTTATGCGACATCTAACGGATGATCTTGTAGGTGTTCCTATATGCCGCTCTATTGTTTTTATTGCTATGTCTTAGTTTGATCTAGGATGTCTTCATCCCCTCTTTTCACCAAAAACAAAAAATAAAACCCCCCTAAAAACACCATAATGCAGCTATAACGGGGTTACGATTGTCATGCAAATCATTTTTTGAAAGCATTCTCGTCATACCCTTATAAAACATATAAGGAATATATTTGTTGTCTAGAATTCACTTGTCTTGGATAAGTCAATAGATTCATTCTCCATTTGAAAAAAGAAAAAGAATGTTGGTCAGTGCTATGTTGTTTTTAATCAATCTAAAATCTCAATCTTGATTTTCATTTCATTTTTTACTTAAGTGGTGCTATTCATACATTCATTTTATTTCTCGTACAACTATTGTTAATTTTTAGGGCAAAAGATTGTTTACTATCCTCATGTTTCGTGGTTTTCAACATTTATCAAGTTTTTTTTGTCCCAAAGTCATACCTAAAGTGTAAATTTTGGGATAGTCTCATACATCCGTTAGTCAAATTGTTAAGTCTCTCGTTAACTGTGACATGGAGCCCCATGTGGACAATGACTGGGCACCACGTGTCATCCATGTGGAAATTAAAAATAAATTATTTTATAAAATAATAAAAAAATTATATAATAATAAAAAAATAAAAACCTTCATCTTCCCCAAATCCCACCTATGCCCACCCTTCCATCACCCACCTCTTCGTCTTCCCCAAATCCCACCCTCATTCGCACTTAGCCAGCCTCAATCAAACCCCCCAAAATGTCCAATTTGCAACTAAAGACTTCATGCCACAATCTTCAACAAACCCACATCACCATTTGTGACTACCTGCGCCCACCCTCCCATCACCTACCTATTCGTCTTCCCCAATTCAGGTTTCAAGCTCTCTCTCCCTCATAGATTACAAAACCCTAATTGTCACATCCCGACCTAAACCCCCACCACATCCTGGGCTCGACTCCACCGTAGCACGATATTATCCACTTTAGACCTCAACCACGCCCTCATGGTTTTGTTTTTGGGAACTCACATGAGAACTTCCCAGTGGGTCACCCATCATGGGATTGATCTCATGCGAACTCGCTTAACTTCGAAGTTCCTATGGAACGTGAAGCCAGTGAGCTCCCAAAGGGCCTCGTGCTAGGTAGGGATGAGAATATACATATAAGGATCACTCTCCTGGGCGATGTAGGATCTCACACTAATCCCATGTGAATCCGATTTTAAAGGTTGACTAATTAACCTTTAATCTCAATCCTTAATCCGCCATGAATTTACACTAACAACCTAGAAAATCACAGCCCCCATTTCTCATTTTTCCACTCTCTGCAAATCTCCCAATTTGTAGAGAGAGAGAGAAAAATGAGAGAGAGAGCTTGATGGCGAACGCTGGCATGGGAGTGTACAGAGGCTATTCGTCGGTCAGTTCGACTAGGCCAGGTGGAAAATTGCCGGTCATGTTGCAATTTCACTGTGGCGGTTGGGTCAGTGGGAGCAACGACTTGGTGGCCAATGATATATTCTGTAGGCGAATTGCGAAGCTGTGTGACGTTGTCATTTTGGCCGTGGGTTATCATTTCGGGAGTAAGCTTAGATCTGAGGGAAGAAGGAAGGAAGGGTGCGGATTGGGGGAAACTGGTTTTGGTGGTGAAGGAAGGTAGAAGACGGGTAAGTGATAGGAAGGTGGGCACAGGTAGGATTTGGGGAAGATATGAAGGTTTTTTTTTTTATATTTTTTATATTTATTATTTTTTATATATAAATTTTTTATTTTATTTTATAAAATAATTTATTTTTAATTTCCACGTGGATGACACGTGTCGCCCATTCATTGTTCACATGGGCGCCACATCATAGTTAACGAAAGACTTAACAATTTGACTAACAAATGCATAAGATTGTCCAAAAATTTACACTTTAGGTATGACTCTGGGACGAAAAAAACTTAATGTACTAAATGTTGAAAACCACAAAACTTTAGGGTAGTAAACAAAGTTTAACCCTAATTTTTATTTTTTAATCTTCTTTAATTTATTAAATTCAGTAACCAGAAAGACGATAGCACATCCATTTTCATCCCCTTGCAAAACTATTTTTTTTCAAGTTAAGTTGACAAAATTGTCCTTTATGGCAGCACAACAGGGGTAAGTACTGGTTTGGTACTGATGTGCTTTTGAAAAAAACAGGTATAAAAAAAAGTTGGGAGCTTTTTTGTGTTTGGTAAACTTTCAGCTTCAACTTTTTTTTCACAGTTTTGGGTAAAAAAAAGCCAAAAAACATAAGCAGCAAAAGCTAGCTTTGAAAAATTGACTTTTTTTGCTTCCACTGCTTTTGCGCAAACCTAATTTGTAAAAGGTGCTGAGTCCTTTAATGAAACTTTCAAATACCCAAAATGGCCTTAAACAATTAAATAAAGGACACATAATACCAACTGGAAGATGTCACTGACTTCAATTGGGAGATCATCCTCGTTGACTCCGCCACAACACCGTTCATTCCCAGCTTCAACAATCACTGTTATTGACCTTCGGTTCCATACCCTACAACATCGTTTCTGTCTCTGTCCTTTCACCCATCTCTCATTCGTCCTCTCTCACTCCTACGCCGACAATAATGTGCCGAGAAACACCACCATCTTTTCCGACGATAATCAGACTCAGATTCAGATTCTGTTTTGGCATCAGGGACTTGCCTAGATTTTCCATATTGCACGCTTACAAGAAACTGATCTTTGTATTTCTGCAAATTAGGAGAGCCTAGATTGCTCAGATGGAGAAACTGAGGAAGAAAAATGCAGTGAGACAAGTGAGAAAGATTGAGGAACAACCCATCAAAGACGGCATAGTCATGGCGTTGGCGCCTTCGGAATCCATGGAGATGAAAATAAAAAAGAAGAAGACGGAGAAAATAAAAACTGAGAAAATTGGGGTAGTGGGGAAGACTTCTAAAGAGATTTTTTTGGCTTTTGGAAAAGTCTAGTCGATGCAGATGGAGAAAATAAAGGAGGAAGACTTTAGAGAGAGTATTAATAAATAAAATTATTATTCTTTATTTTTTTGTCAAATATAAATAAAATTATTCTTATTTTACATTTAATATCATACTCATTTTTGTCATTTGACATAGTTACAACATCTTTAGATAAAAGTTTACCAAACACCCTTACACTTAAAAGCACTTTTATGAAAAAAAAAAAAAAGTTTACCAAATACTCAACTGCTTTATTTTACAGCTGTTTATTCTCACAGCACAGTAGAAACAGTTTTTTTGAAAAGCACAATAATATCAAACTAGCCCTAAAACTTCTATGATCCCATCACAAGTCAACAGTCACAGTCTGGTCAAAAGATTTATCATATTATTTTGAGGCGGTAGGTATTGTTCTTTACAACAATTTTTGGGTCGTATGAAAAAGCTCTTAACAATTAAAAAAAAAAAAGAAGTTAAATCATTGGGGTAAATAGTAAATACGAGGATTTGACTAGCATTCAATGGCTTTCGTCCATTGGGATTGGGCTACCTGATCTAAGTAATTGGGTTGCAACTAGGCCCGATATGAAAGCCCATAAGTGAGTGTCTATTCCTTTTGTCATCAATGGGGCTGTAAATCAGCTCCAAACAATTAGAGCATATTTGGTACTCTACTTGAATTCAACTTTTTAAACTCAAAAACAATTTTCAAGTTTTAGCCCTTAAAAACTTGTTTGGTAGGACTATTTTCAAAAACGGAATTCAAGATTAACTAAAAAATATAGTTTATTCCCTAAAAACACAAAATGTGAGTTTTTAAAGTTTTTAAATTTAATATCACTCATTTTTTCTCTCCTTCCTCCCCTTTCACTCCAAATCTATCTCTATCTCTTTTCTTATTTCTCTCTCCCCCCCCCCCTTTTTTTTATACCCTTTTTCACCTTTTCTTCAATCCACTATCTTCAATCTCTCGGTTCTTTTTCTCACTCCTCTTTCTCTCTATTTCCTCCGATCCTCTCATTTCTTTCTCTTTCATCCAATCAGGTCTTATTTTCTTTCCTCCTCTCTCATTTTTCTCTCTCGACCCCCTCTTTTTGGATCTATTTCTCCAATTTAAGCTGTAAGATTTAAAAATTTTAAATTGCATACCAAACAAGTTTTTGAGTCTTAAAGAAAATTGTTTTCAAGAAAAATTCTTAAGAAATGTTTTGAGAAATTATAAAAAATTTAAATAGGATACCAAACAAGCCCTTAGATATTGCATTAGATTTAGTCCATATTTGACTCGTCAGAGATTAAATTGTTTAAGAACTAACCCAAGCATAGGTTGGCTTGTTTAAGAAAGAAATCAAGCTTGAACATTAGTATGTTAAACTCGTGAGCAACTAAAATTTTTTTACAAAACAACTTGAGGTAGGCTTAAGCTCGGTTCAGTCGTCCAAGCTCAACACCCAATAATATTCATAGAAACAATATATTCACTCAACTCTGTCCAACACATACTTGGATGCCCAAGTTCAAATAATACATTAACAAAATAACAATATAAACTAAAAGGGATATTTTTTTGCCGTATAAAAGGATTCGATAGAAATACTAAAATAGGAGTTCATTTTGCTGTCGAAAAACAAAGTCTTATTTGCCAAATTGTTAGATTGTTTTTTGTGGCTAGTATCTACTTCAAAAAATTTCAAGTTTGGCTAGCTTGACAAATTTAGTATGATTGTTTTAAAGACATTACATCCTTTGTATCCTTTTGGTTTACAAAACTCTACAAACGTGATGGTCTAGCCTCTTACTGGGTTCCAACCATAAAAAAAAAAAATTTAAAACTGAGCTAACTTACTATAAGAAATAGTTCAAAACAGTTTGAGCTCATGATTAGGCTCGAAATTATTAAGCTTACTCGAACTTGGCTTGTAAAAGAAGCAAGCCAAGCCTAGCTTGAGTTCGAAAAAAAATTAAACAAGCCAAACTTGAGCATAATGATATTTGGTTCAGTTCGTTTACAACCATAACCATCAACGCACTTTTATATCTTTTGCCGACTATTATTATATTGCTTTGAGGGTGGTAATGTGAGAAACCAAATAAAATACTAAGGCCTCGTTTGGCATGTCGTATAAGAGATCGGATAGGACTAATAGTACGGACTTGGTCGTTTGGTGTCCTCTCATATTATATAGTCGCCGGATTAATTTAATCAGCTGGATAGGATAGTCGGGTATACACCTTCTTAATAAACCCTTCCAAAAGGAGGGGATTATTAGTCAGGTATAACCTTTCCTCTCTCTCACATTTCGTTCTCCATGACACCTCCTCTCGCTGTCGTCCCTCTCGCTGTCATCCCTCTCGTCGTCATCGTTCTCCCGGTCGCTACTCTCTTGGTACTGTCGCACTGCTGCTCTCCTGGTACTGTCGCTCTTCATGAAATTCGTAAGTACCAGAAGAGTACTGAGCTCTTGATCAGGAAGTTGCCATTCCAGAGGCTTGTTCGTGAAATTGCCCAGGATTTCAAGACTGATCTGCATTTCCAGAGCCACGCGGTGTTGGCACTGCAGGAGGCTACTGAGGCCTACCTTGTGGGTCTATTTGAGGACACCAACCTATGCGCCATCCATGCCAAGCGGGTTACCATCATTCCTGCTGAACAATATTTCATCTGGGCAATTTTTTGGTATTTTTATGTATTTTTGTTCAACATTTAATTTGTTTATTTTTGTTCATTTGGTTGTCTGCAGCCTGAATGTTGAACAATATTTCATCTAGGCAATTTTTTATTTTTTTTTTAAATTAGATTTTGCTTAATTTGGGGCTTTTTAATTTGCTTTTTATTTTGAAGTTTAGGATTTGAAAAGTATTTGGGTTTTTAGATAATTACATATTTATATTCGATACAGTATGAATAATACGGTTATAGTTCGATACTGCACCACACGCCCGATTAATTTAGTCAGTATTATCCGGTGACTATTTATCCTATCCGACAGAAATAGTCAGTACAGTTTGAGCTGCCAAACGAGGCCTTAGGATGTTAACCCTAACATCGAAATCCCAAAATAAATGATTATATATTGGATGCTATATATGTGGATTATATAGTAACATATTTTAAAAATGAAAAAGAATGTGTTGTTTTTTAATTAAATTGCAATATATCCTACTCTTAATCTTCAAACGTCACCCAACAGAATATAAAATTGTTAAAACTTAACAAACTGTTGAAATAACAAAGCCGTCTTAGCTCAGCCGGTAGAGCGCACGGCTTTTAACCGTGTGGTCGTGGGTTCGATTCCCACAGACGGCGACCTCGCTTAAATTTTATTATTTCTGGTTTTTTTTTTTGGTTAATATTACAGCATCCTTATCACCTTCTCCTGCAAAATACAAAAACCCAGCAAAAACCCCACAAGAAAAAAATTGTGGCAGAACACCAAAATGTTTCCGTGTTTTTCATACACAGCTGCACAGTCTGTAAACCCAGCAATTCTCTGTCTACCCTCTTTTTCCTCCCACCACAGCAAATTTCCCCAACCTCAGCTTCAGCCAAAGCAACCCAATAAGAAGATGCAGCGGCAGACGCTGCGACGGTGCGGCACCTATGAGGTGGGCGGCGGATACCCGGACGAAGGATTTGGCGCACAAGGGAAGAACAAAACTGCCCAAGAGCAAGGCAGCTCAAAATTGGAGCCTGCCCAATACGAAGCCCTTCTCAGAGGTGGTGAGCAGGTCACTTCTGTTCTTGAAGAGATGATCGTACTTGTAAGTCTCTCTCTCCCTCTATCTGTTTCTCTCTGTCGTCATTCTCTGTAGATTTTTTCTGAGGAAGTGGTAGAGAAGGAAATGGTAGATAATTTGGTATAAGGCTTGGTTGAGCAAGATTTTGAAGTGTGAATGTGAAATTCATACGATTTGCATCCATCATGATAAAGTATATTACTACGTAACAACTACCCAGTTGGCGAATTTTGCAAAAATTGGATTATTCAGCTGTTTCTCTCTTTGAAAATACGAGCCAACTGATGCTTCATTGTACTGATCATTAGCTTTGTAGATTGGTTGCTGAGAAATTGGTATAGAAGGAAATGATAGATTATTTGGTATAAGGCTTAGTTGAACCAGACTTTGCATTGAAATGTGAATTTCATATGATTTGCATCAATGGGATGATATGTATTAACTGCCCTCTTGGTTATTTTCCGGAAGTTGGATTCGTATGCTTATCTCTTTGTGCTCTTTGTTTTGAAATCACGACCGTACTGATTGTTAAAATTGCTGATTATTAGTTTTGTGTATGTACAGTTGGAGGATATGAACATGGATGAGGCATCTGAAGAGGTGGCAGTGGAAATTGCTGCACAGGGGGTCCTAGGGAAGAGAGTTGATGAAATGGAGGCCAGTTTCATGATGGCTCTAGATTACATGATCCAACTCGCTGACAGTGACCAAGATGATAAGGTTCCTACTTCCATTGCAGCTTGATACATACCCTAGCTTTAATGTGGATTTGAACTAACCCCAAGAAACTTCGATTGATCTGATATGATAGAGCTATGAGCATGCATTGACCTTTTGATTTTATCAAGTTTTAGATAACACCACATTCTCTATCATTTTCTGTACTTTTTCACATCACCTTTGATGTGGTTTTTGATTTCCGCACAGTATTATTGTTCCGATATTTGTTCGTATGTGTGCCTTCATACGAGGATGCATGTTTTTTGGTTACATTTTTAGTGGCACTACTAACTAGGTTCTGTACTATCCGTGCTGTGAATGTTCAGTGATGCATTTTCTTTTTGTGGGAAGAGGGCAGGATAGAGGAGGGAAACATAAGTTTTTGTTTTGTATGATATTGTTCATGGGTGCAAGCTTCAATTTCAATACACGAACTTTTATGCAAATTAAATGCACTTTCAGCACTGCTGCAGTTTTGAATATGTGCTAAAATTTGCACTGCTTTTGTTTTTAGGTAAATTCTAGCCAACATATAGCTGACTGCCCCTTGGTGGTCAAACACTCAAACACACTTGGTCCTCTTTTTAGACATTGTCGTCGGATGATTTCATTTCTTGTCACTGAATGTAGCTATGGATTGTTTACTCAATGACTGTTTTGATCGTTTATGTTCAGCGCAAGTCTCTATTGGAGGTGATCAAGGAGACAGTATTATCCTATCTTACAAAAAAATGCCCCCCACATGTAAGGATTTTTCGTTAAGCCCAATTTTAGAAACTTTAATTCAGAGTAATAGCTAGTATAGACATTTACGGTTATTGAATGCTAATTTCTTTCCTCTTTATTTTTTTTCATCCCGTAATTATTTCTAGGTTCAAGTGGTTGGCCTACTCTGTAGAACTCCCTTAAAAGAAAGCAGGCAGGAATTACTACGCAGAGTGGCTGCTGGTGGTGGTGTGTTTAAAAGTAAAAATGACATCAAAGTTCATGTTCCAGCTGCAAATCTTAATGATATTGCTAACCAGGCTGATGATATACTGGAGGTAATCACTGTGAAGCCCTGCATGCTTATTTGGCTTTTGACGATGTATGCATAGCATTATTTGCAAATCATCCTGGCCACCATGTATTGCTAATGCCATTTAAAGGAGTTAAAATATACCTCGGTGGTTTTCCAAGTTTGGCTTTGCACCATAGAGTTTATAATCATTCTGTGTTTAAAACCATCACTGAGATTTGACCCTCATAACTTGAGGCCAGGTGTTTTAATAGTTTTGCTCTGTTGAACTTTAGATTTCCCCCTCGTTTGGGCTTGGGATTTTTGGGAACACTCTTAAATGTTAAAACAAGAAAATAGAATTTTTAACTTACAAATACTATATTCAAACACTATAGTCCTTGTAATATGTAAAGGTATTCAATGGCACTGGCCATTGAATTTTCATGCTTTTATGCATTATTATTTTTATGAAGTTTGAATTTGTACTTCCTGTCATTTAGTAATAATTGAAGCTAATATGAAAGCGTATTCTCATCTATGGAAGACAATGGAAACTCGGCCTATAGTTCCAGATCGAAAACTGCTTGCAAGACTTGTTTTGATCAGAGAGGAAGCTCGGAATATGATGGGAGGTGGAATACTAGATGAGAGAAATGATCGTGGATTTAACACTCTTCCAGAATCCGAGGTCTGTATTTCTGCATTTATAAAAAAGATTGCAGGATACCCATTTTGGTTTTTTGGTCTGAGGACAGTTGATTGGCACGTATCTGTTCTTTTCAATGAATATATCAACAATTCTTTGGAAAAATTGTATTTTTAGGTAAATTATTACCATCATCATCTGTCATTGTTTGCCATGATTAAAATTCCTGTCAGTGCAGGTGAATTTCTTAACCAAACTGGTAGCTTTAAAGCCAGGGAAGACTGTCCAGGAGATGATAAAAAATGTAATGGAAGGTAAAAATGAAGGTGCTGACCACTCTAGCAGTGATGAGGAAGATGGCACTGGTGCGACAAGTGGAATTGGAGGAAGGGTGGGTAACAGTCCATAACTACAATGTGTGTGTGTGCATATCTGTTTCAACAGCGTGCACACTCGCGCGACGCACACACTGACACACACATATAACTATTCGTTGGTATCAAACTATATTGACTCATGCATCATAATTTCCAGGAAAGTGTTTCAGGACGAAAACCACTTCCTGTGCGCCCTGGCATGTTTCTTGAGACTGTCTCCAAGGTAAGAGTTGATTCACCAATTTAAATTGTTAGTTGTAACACATTCATTTTGAGCCCTGTGGAACTCAGGATCTCTAAGGATCCGTAAGGTCAAGTTGGATAGTGTTTGAGGACAATATATATATTTGGTGTTTCTGATCTCAAAGATATTTCATACCCTTGAAACATCTATTAGGTTAAATGGGTTGAGCTACTCTATTAAAGCTGTCAGATATGCAGTAAACCTGTTTAGGTTAAATTCTAATTGATCCTTGAACTTGCCAGGTCTTAGGTGGTATATATGGTGGAAATGTCTCTGGCATCACAGCACAACATCTAGAATGGGTAATGTTTTTTCTCTCTCCCGCCATCTTCTCTCAAATAAATAAAAGAACGTGCTTTTAATTTTCCTGCAAATGAATTACTGTCTTCAATTTTATTTAAGCTTTCTATCTAGTTTTTATTTTGAAAAGTCTTAGAAGTTATTCTTACGATATGCTTTAGAAGTTTATAACATACACTTCTAAGCAATTTACAGCATGTTTCTGAAAGTCATGGTGCACAAATAGCTAACCTTATCATTTCCCATTATAATTTCCTTCACTTTACAGCTATGTTATTCCACGTTCTTCCTGCGATTCAATTCATTTTGTTCCCTTGTCTCACATACAGGTTCATCAGAAGACACTCGAAGTTCTTCAGGAAATAGCATTTTGAACATTTTACCGTAGGTGCCATCCCTATTTTTTCGCTAATTATGTACTGTTGGAACAGATAATTTTAGGTTGGGTCTGGCAATAACCTTGCCGAGTGCTTTGTAATCTGCATCTGTGACAAAGATTGCAAGATGGTCAAAGCAAAATTCATCTAACTATTTACGTCTTTTTAATCTGTTGTCCAATGATAGCGGGAATCAGACACAAGCGTGGCTCGAATCATACTTTGTTTAAAGGAAAACACCGAGAATCAGCAAAACTGATGATGAAGATTTAACAGTGTCCAATGAACACCAGTGCAACACCATGTGTGGAAATGTCCCACAAATATGGATTTTGATATGCTTGCATCAGTGCAAACTTCGGTGGACCTCGGTAATGATTCATATGCCTTGAGTAGTAGAAGCAAACACAGCAAGGATCGGTACACACATTCCCCTAATTATTTATAAATCTTTTTGCCCACGCCTTTTTTTTTCTCTCTTTCTATTTGCCTTTTCTGTAAAGCAAATATGAACCGTGTATAAAGCTTCCTTAATCCACATTGGTATGGCCTACCATTGTTATCTCTCCCATGCTCTCTCATGTGTGCAAAATCTCTTTGTTTATGTTCATGTGATTAGCTTGTTTTGTTTATAAGATAATGCTATGGATGAAGGTAGAGTTGCCCGCCTGCACCGGTCTTTTTTGCAGATTGGAGCCTCACAACTATGTGAAAATATTGAAGTTCTTATGACCCACGAATCGGATGATACTTTAGTATATGCTCTCTGTAAGAGATTGAGAGTTTAAATGGACTGATTTGTTATATGATGATAACTGAACTGCTTAATGATGATTAATGAAAAGCCAAATATGAATATGGTCTGTGGGGATGATATGATACTATGTATCCAGTCTCTACTCTGATTTGTGCATGATTTTTCTAGGTATACTTTCACATGCTTAATTAAATGGGGCACGCTTGCTCAGGTGTCACACATCGTTGCCCCCCACATCTTCCTCGAGAATGTAGAGGGCAAATGACCTCCCACGCGAGCACGCCGCACAATTGCCATAAAGCCAAGTCCTCAACGACAAACTCATTGGAAGACGAATGGCACATCATTAATATTATTGATGTCAGTATGTTTTGTTGGTTATAACAACATCAACACATTATTAACAACTTATCAATACATTATGAACAACATTGCTTCAACACATTATTACCGATGTATCAATATATCATCAACAACATTTCGACAGTACATCAAAACAAGTTGAGTGGTGAACCATTTTGGTAGTTTAACTAGTTACATCCATAGAAGTCTAGGAATTAGGAAACGTCAAAACATCCGTTGCCAATCAAATTCTGCTTTTCAGAAAAGGCAAACGATCTTTTTAACTAGTGGTTCTTATTACCCCACACACTTGCAGCCTTGCAGGTCGGCAAATGCCTTATTTTTGTCAAATGACCGACCACTTTTTATTAATATACTCAATTCAATGCCCGAGCTTTACCAGTTTTTAGGCATGTACCACTCCCAATCTGTCAATCAAGAAAATTACACTCCCAATCTGTCAATCAGGAAAATTATTAATTTAGGGGTTGCGTTATCCACGCTTCTTTTTAGTTCTCATACTATACTAGACACCCTATATTGATTTATATTCTTTGATTTTTTTCTTCAATTTATTCGATTTGGGTAGAAAATTAAGAGGAGTGTGTGTGAGGTAAAAATAAGATGTGTGAAGAGTAATGCTAGAGAGACAAAATTTTGTAAATTAAATGATATGAAAGTTGATGATTGGATGATTACTTAAACTTTGATAAACATGCTCATATCTTATTAGTAACACATCATTTAATTTGCATATTTTGTCTACAAATTTAGTCTCACTTAGTTCAATGCCTAAGAGCATCTCCAATGGAGATGTCAAAAGATAAATGTCAAATGTTGATTTGATAGCAGACGTGACAATGTCAAATTTTCTATTTCTCGAACCGATATTTTTTTTGTTATAAATGATATTTGTAGGATTCATTTTAAAAAGAAATCAATTAAAGTAAAATTTTAAGATATCTAATTGGTGCATTAAGGGGATCCCACAATAAAATTATTTAAAATTATTTGATATCATCTTTTCTCACACGTCAAATTGGATATATGTAAACTCATATGTCAATCCTATGCATTTTAAAAAGAAATCAATTAAAATAAATTTTTAAGATATCTAATTGGTACATTAAGGGGACCCCACAATAAAATAATTTAATTAAATTATTTGACATTATCTTTTCTCATATGTCAAATTTGACATATGAAAACTTATATGTTAATCCAAATAAGATTGACATATCGGTTGGAGTTTATTCCTACCTTCAAATTTGATTACATGATATTTCACTTAGGATTTAACATCTCCTTTAAAGATAACTGAGCAAATCCCATTGTTTAATCCTACTTGTTGCTCTAATTGTTTATTATTTAAAGTTCAAATCTTAAAATTGCAACGGCCTGGTTGAAACTTGAAAGCATAACCATATAGAATGACAACAATAGAAAGTGTGTAAAATGTCATGCTGTTATTTTATATTAATTCACGTATTATAATATAAATGAATAACATAATGTATATAACTAAATAGACAAAAATATTAAAAAAATGAACGGACAAAAAACACTACACAACAATGTCAGTCGTAATTTGAATTCTCCAACGACATTGTGTTTGTGGGGTCGGACTTCTATCCTCCCTAGTGTACTCGTTCTAGAGAGAGAAAGAGGTAACCAGCCGACTGATTGAGATTGGAGACAGAGACTACTTGAGTAGGACATGATGGTCATTATTTGAATTGTCTATCTTCATTCAAAGGAACAAACTTTCAAGAGTAACAGCTCTACCCGGACCCAACTGCGTTGAGTGTTGCCCACCCTCCTCCTCCTCCTCCTTGCCTCCCTACTTGTACTAATCCTCCTCCTCTAAAGTTTCAAACTTCAAATAATTAACTCAAAAATTAGATCAAATACAAAGTCGGGTTTTTTTTTTATGGGGGGATAATAACCAAGAAATACTGAAAGAGAACAGCTTTTAGCTAAATTTTCAGCTCAATCCTGCATCTTTTTCTTCTGGGAAGCTCCGAAATGTCTGGGTACGTCGGCATTCTAGTCTCAGATCCATGGCTGCAGAACCAGTTCACCCAAGTGGAGCTCCGGAGCTTGAAATCCCATGTATGTTCTTCAGCATTTCATGTTTTCTAAATTTTATTTTTTGAGCATTTTTTGGCTGAAAAATTTGTGATTTTGTGGTGATGAAGTTTGTGAGCATGAAGAGAGAGAGTGGAAAGCTCACAGTTGGAGACTTGCCTGCCAATATGTCGAGGCTCAAGGTTGTGGGATCGGATAATTTCACTGACGAAGACAGGGCTTCTTTCATTCAAGATTTGCATCCCAACCTCGATGAAGATGTCGATTTCGAATTCTTCCTCCGGGTCTGCTTTAACACTTTTGCTTCAAAGTTCAAACCCAATTGAACAATCGATCGAATAAGTATTGCTGAATGCCAAGTTTGATTTGTATGTTGCAGGTCTATTTGCAACTCCAAGCTCGTGCCACAGCTACAACAGGAAGTGGTGGAAAGAATAACTCCTCATCTGCCTTTCTCAAGGCCGCTACCACCACTTTGCTCCACACGATCAGCGAATCCGAGAAGGCTTCCTATGTTGCACATATCAACAATTACCTTGGACAGGACGATTTTTTAAAGAGATACCTGCCTATTGATCCTTCAACCAATGATTTATTCGAGATCGTCAAAGATGGAGTACTTTTATGGTGATTGATTGTTATTCATTACTGCCCCTTGTGGTATTTTTCGTTGAGTTACTAGTTTCTTTTGTGTTGGGATCGTGGATTGGATTTTTATGGTTGTGTTTCTCTGGATGCAGTAAGCTGATCAATGTGGCAGTGCCTGGAACAATCGATGAACGAGCTATCAACACTAAACGAATACTTAATCCGTGGGAGAGAAATGAAAATCACACCCTGTGCCTCAACTCTGCTAAGGCAGTTGGATGTACTGTAGTCAATATAGGGACTCAGGATTTCATTGAAGGAAGGGTATGCATACATGACTTTTCGTTTACTTCATATAGTGTGCCCTAAGGTTGCTACTGCTTCGTTGAGTGTTTATAAGTATATACGGGATATGGATACTTACACAATATTGTATTCTTTATTTGGATTTCAGCGTCATCTTGTCCTTGGAGTCATTTCTCAGATAATCAAGGTAAGTCTTTCATAGTTGTATAACTTTATCAGCATGAAGTTTAAATTTGGAATATATATGGACTATGTCCGAACAAATAAATTTGATTTATCTTTCTAAGAGTATTATACTAATCGTTATGCTGTTTAGATACAACTATTGGCAGACCTCAACTTGAAGAAAACACCTCAATTGGTGGAGTTGGTTGACGATAACAAGGTAAGAATGTTGTTCATGGAATTTTGATTCTTAAGACAATTAGTGGTGAGGTTTTCAACCAACAAGTTATCTAATCCGTTCTTTTGTCCGAAACCTACAGGATGTGGAAGAGTTGATGAGTCTACCTCCAGAAAAGATATTACTGAGGTGGATGAATTTCCAATTGAAGAAAGCAGGATATAAAAAGATAGTCACAAACTTCTCTTCTGATGTGAAGGTATGAGAATAAGTTAATAACTTGTCGAGGTTTGGGAATATGACATGCCCAAGTATAGAATGAAATAGGAAAGATGTAGCCAGCGATTCGATTCTGTGGGTTGCAATGGCAATAGCTGATAACTAGATTCGACGCTAGTGTTTGAGGCTATGAGATGTCTGTCTTGCAGGATGCTGAGGCTTATGCTCACCTCTTAAACGTTCTTGCCCCAGAGCACAGTAAACCATCTGCATTGGATGCAAAGAATCCTTTGGAAAGAGCAAAGTTAGTTCTTGAACATGCAGATAGGATGGGTTGTAAGAGATATTTGACCGCAAAAGATATTGTTGAAGGATCCCCGAATCTTAACCTTGCATTTGTCGCACATATTTTCCAGCACAGGTGAGAACTATATCTACTTGACCAATGAATTCCTTTTAGAATAGTTACTTTATTGCAGTAAGTATCTAAGTTTTACTTGTTCACATGTAGAAATGGACTCTCAACCCAAACAAAGCAAATATCATTCCTCGACAATTTGGAAGATGACACCCAAATTTCCAGAGAAGAGAGGGCATTTCGCTTCTGGATGAATAGTCTTGGAAATTCATCATATATCAATAATGTATTTGAAGACCTCAGAAACGGGTAAAGTTTGCGTTTGAACTCGTATGATGATTTAATATTGTAAAGTTGTCTATCCTCCTGAACATAAGGTACTTATGTTCTGATCAACTTACTCTAGTGTTGCACCTGGTGGCATGCTAAGTTCGCTTCAGGTTCATGGCTCAAACAAAACCAAACTTCCAAATTTCAATTTTGTTTTTAAAATATCGAAAACATTGTCCTAAGAGGGCTTAGATTTTTAAATTTTGATGTAATAATTCAAGGACTTCGAAAGTTAGAGATTGCTAATATCCTTACTTTCATCTGGAGCTGTAATTAATTTGGTCCTCTGCAGGTGGGCACTTCTAGAATCGCTGGACAAGATTTCGCCAGGCATTGTCAATTGGAAGATTGCAAACAAGCCACCAATTAAAATGCCATTCAGAAAAGTAGAAAACTGCAACCAAGTTGTAAAAATCGGGAAACAGTTGAAGTTTTCTTTGGTAAATATTGCTGGAAATGATATCGTGCAGGGGAATAAAAAGTTAATACTTGGTACGTCCACTGCCACATTTTTGTTAATTCTATATCTTACAGCAATCTTCCAAATACATCAGACTCTTGGTATAACTTTATGCTTTTATAACTCAAAGAAATTATCTGAATCAAAGTGTATCGGGTTTTGTTTTCAGCTTATTTGTGGCAATTGATGCGGTATAACATCCTCCAACTACTAAAGAACTTGAGATTTCATTCCCACGGGAAGGAAATCGCTGATGCTGATATTCTAGAATGGGCGAACACCAAAGTCAGCAGCACGGGAAGCCAGAGCTGCATGAAAAGTTTTAAGGTGCCATTTCTGTAGTTGCTTTCTTTCATGTTTTGATTTTTTATTTACAAACAATAGCGCTAGTGGGTTAAACTGATAGTTGTTAGGGGATCCTGTGGGAGGGGGGGGGGGGGTGGGATCGAACCCGCATCAGGATGCATACACATGATTGCTTTGCACCCACCACTGCAGTAAAGTGCGCTTCTTAGCTTTCTGAGGCATGTGAGTGAAACTCTGAGTTGATTAGCTGATCGAAGAATCAACTAAAATAGCAGCGGGTACTTTTGAAATGTCATTCCCATGGAACTATGTGTTTGGTGAAGTAGACGAATAATTTTATACCTGGTGATGAAAAAAGGAGGAAAAACAATGTACTTATTTGCCTGGTATTTCCAGACGGGCGCAAAGATTTTGTATTCATGAAAGAAGTTGTGCAACTATTCCTTCCAATTGCAGAACGCTCTAACCATAGGTCCATAGACTCCATACTCTATCATGTTATTTGCTTAGACGTTTCATGAATTAGGTGAAGGATTGGAGTTTTTGTATAGGCTGTGACATCCATGCATGATTTTGATGACTGAAAATTCGAAACATTAGCAAGAACTCTTTGACTCTGAATTAATTTGTGCCTACTGTTATCCCTGATCATATGTTACTATATCAATCTTACAGGATAAGAGTCTTTCAGATGGCCTTTTTTTCCTTGAGTTGCTTAGCTCTGTGCAGCCTAGAGTGGTGAACTGGAGTCTCGTAACAAAAGGAGTAACCGGTATGTTTTCTCTTATCTTTTCGGGGTCAAAGTTGAATTTATTAGTGAATCCTATTATCACATATCAACATTTTTGAGAACCATCTCTATAATTTATTCTTCTGAATCTTTGAAAACTGTAGATGAGGAGAAGAAGATGAATGCCACCTACATTATAAGTATTGCAAGAAAGCTTGGATGTTCGATATTTTTGCTTCCCGAAGACATAACTGAGGTACTTTCAATTGTTCAGATGTTTGATATTTTTGTTCATTATCTGATGAACAACTTTCATTTCGTTTTCTATTGTCAACCGATGCACCTAAACTAGTTTATGTTAATACATTTCATCAGGTGAATCAAAAGATGATTCTTACTTTGACTGCAAGCATTATGTACTGGTTTTTGAAACAACCCATCGAAGATCAACCGTCTGGGATTTCAGATAGTGAGGGTTCCAGCATTGTCTCCAGTTCAACTACTGATGACTCTGCTTCTGAGTCATCAATGGAGGAGAATGGAAATCTATAAACACAATTATTACTGGGAAAAATTTACCAAACTTTCTATTTAAAGCTCATGAGTTTTTATTTTTTGGTAAAGTTGATTGCAAAAATGATTGCAATAACCAGTATATGTAAGAGTAGGAATTGAAGTGTTTTTTCAAACCAAATTTTGTTCAGGCAGCATATGTGAATACAAGGATCTTTTAATCCAGTTTCATCAAAGATTCAAAGGGTGGTTCGTGTCTGTCATTGAATTAGATTGAATAACTCGCTAATATTCACAAGAAAATTTATCCCTTTATTCTCTTTAAGATGAAAAAGGTTTCATCACTAACTTCGCAATAATTATATGAGTTAAGTAATCAAATTTTATGCATCAAACAAGCCACAAATGCAAATAATTTGATCAACCAATTTGAGTAATCACCAAATTTTCTTTGGCCAATGATGATGACTAGGGTGGAAATCCTCTTGTACAGAAGACCCTTGGTGGTCAAATTAATGTCACTTCACATGTCTTCTTTGTATGTCTTAGTTCTATAGTGGGGCTTCCTTTGCTTTTTAGTACTCATCAATAAGAAGTATTTTTTTGTTGTAATTGTCAAGTTCCTTCACGTGGTATTATTAACTCATTTATTGACAAAAAAAAAAGTATGTAAAATTATGTATTTATTAATAATATTATATTGTAAGCTGAAAAAATTTATGTTTGATTTGGTAAGCTTTCAAAGTCCATGATATGGTATTTGTGAAACTTTTATATGGGTTTGTTATTTCATGCTTTTAATCAAGTGTACCTTTTCAGACAATTAATAACATAACACGTATATTAATCTAGCTAGGAATGCGAAATGGAGATGTGCTAGGCACATTCAAAAGTATGGTTGTTAATCGTTGATGGAGTGAGTGGTTGTCGATCGTTGATGATAGAATATGGATGACATCTGTAGACGACTCTCATACCAATTTGGTGGTCCTGGAATATTTCATGGCTTATAGCAAATTGAGGATGTACATAAATTAACAAGCCCATGTGGATCCTTCTTATCTCAAATTATCAATACACAAAACCTAATTATGAGTTTGTTAAAGTCTAATACAAAAGCTTTGGTGCTTGTTTGGGCATTTGTAGGCAAGCTAGGCCCACCTCCCCTATGAATTCCTCACCCTTTACAAAAGGCCACAACACCAACTCCAAGCTTTGCTCTACTGCGTTTTGTTTTGCCTTTCTGTCACTCACTCACTCACTTGATTCTATTTTCCAGCTAGGGTTTCTATTTTAATTAATTCTCTTTTTCAGTGCAATAACCCATAAACTATCGTTTATTTAAAAAATATATATATTCATCAAAGAAGTTGAGATTTTACTATAAAATCAATTTGACGATTTTGAGAATGATTGAACTTTTTATAAGTCAAGGTTTGGCTTTTCATTAATGTGGGACTTTATTCTCACATTAACATTCTGGAAGTAGTAGATTGTCGTAAATAAGATTTTCCTCTTCAACTCACTGCATCCTGAGTTCAAACCCTTAACTTTCTTCTTAATGTAGTTTAGAATAGGAGTATCATTTGCATTAAAAGAATTTTTTTTTCTATATATATTGACTGACATTCTCTTTGGAGGAAAACATATCCAATATATGAGAATACAATGCATAATTTCTTTTTAAACATGTAAAACCTAAGTTATTATTTTTATTTATTATCTTGCTTAAAAATTGCTATTATCTTTGGCTGATGGGATTTTCACATGACCCAAAGGCCAAAACACACACAACTTTTCAACATGTGTTGAGGCGTGAGACTTGAGAGGGAAAAAAAGCATACATCCTCACTAATTTGTGCCTTAATTTTTGCATTCTTTTAGAGATTAGCATGATGCATCTTTCCATGAGATTAGGAAGATTACCCATTATTCTACAGAAAAAAAGGAAGATCATCACCTTTTTCTTTCTTATCATATTAACTGATAATATTTGAGGTTGTTTAAAACAAGAGCAAGAGTCACCAATATGAAAAATAAACTACTAAGACGATGAAAAATTTCATTAGCAAGGTATGTACCTACAAAGTCTGATGCATTAGAAATTAAAATGTTGCATAAAAACCAATAGCAGCGTTTTTTAAGTGTAGTACGTGTAACAAAAACAGTGTTTTAATATTATTCTGGTAAATGTCGATGTACAACACTGCATTAGTGCTACAAAAAATCATTTGCAACGTTGCTTTGTGACACAAGAAAAAGGATTCAAAAGAGAAGGACCTTTTGCAACACGAGATGTACAACGCTTTGGAACTGCACAAAGTCATTTGCAACGTTTTCTGAGGGTTGCGACGAGTAAAAGTTTTCGCTAGTGACTAATCCTCGTATCCTGACCAATAAAAGACATTCAAATGTGAATGCAATGCTATAATTAATGATATTGGAAGGATTCATTCTCAAAACACCTATTGGAAAAACCCAGACTCAACTACCAACCAAACAAAAGTAACACAAATACCATCAACCGAAAGCAAAGTGCAAACTACAAATTTCACAGTGAGAGATTGTAAAATCGTGCAACAAAGATCATGTTCAACTTGTTACTACTCATCAGGAGTTGATCTACGAATTTAAGATTGTACAACCCTCTAATGAAAACAAAATCCAATTAGAGCAAATCTACTGATTGTCACAACAGTCGTAGCGAATTTTTTCAGATGGTTAACAATAAAACAAACTCTTACACTTGCCAATTGTCACTTTCCCTAATGCATATCATCACTTCACATCATCAACGGAAAACACTTACTTCATACCGATATGAGTTTGAGTATATACTCTTGTCATTCTGCGAGAGTGCTTCAGGTAGCTCAGCTAGTTAGAGCAAATGATTAAAAACCTTGTGTCAGTGGTTCAAATCCACTTTTAAAAGGGCAAAGGGTACAAATGAATCCATCAAACTTTTCATTATTTTTTTCTAATTAGAATGTTGTGGCATACTATTCATTTAGGGTTAATTAAAAGAACAATGTTTGGCTAGTCAAGGTTGAGTAGGAACTCCTAATCAAGGTTGAGTAGGAACTCCTACTTAAAATTCTTCGTGTTCGAATCACAAAACTTTGTGTTTATGATCAAAACCGGTCATATCATGAATCGCTTTATAAAGAGCACCTATGCAAAAGAATGAATTAAAACTAAAGTTGTTTAGTCAGTCTATTGTGACAAATACATAGACGGTTCGTAATGCTTTTATCAATTTTGTTAATTTTTTTTTTCACAGTTCAATGACTAAACGACCTTAATTGATTTTTTCCAAAGGCAATTTTGATAAAGTGATTCATAATATGAACGGTTATGATCGTAAAAATAGAGTTCTATGAATTGGCAAAGAACAATTTTAAGTAAAAATTAATACTTTTTCTTTAAGTAGTCAAATATTATTCTAATTAAAAGGCAATACCATTGCAGTTATAAGTTGGGCTTTAATTTAAATTAAAGTGACCGTGACATATGCATATACCATTTCATGTCGGCTGCCGGCCATTGGTATCATCTCGATCATGTACAACCACCACTAGCTAGTAATTAGTTAGTAACTACCATCACCATGCACTGTCATGTCATTGGCTTATAGACCCGCCAAGAGGAGACAAATTCAAATATAATACCATGAGTTGGATATAAACATCAAGTTAGTGAGAAAGATGCATAAGAAAACAAGATGAAGAGAGGAAAATTAAAGGCCCCATAATCCAAGTGGGTAAGAACCATGTGCGCTCATATGCTAGTTGGTCCCTTGTTGCCCCACGGACCCCACTTTTACCTCCAAAACTCATGTTGAAAACGAAAGAAGCTATAAACCTATTATTCAATTCCATTATCTCTCACCTAAATAAGAGCTTTTGATTTGTATCCGGAACACAGTTACGTAGTGCTATTTTTATAAAATATAATAATAATAAATAAATACACACGTATATATGTATAGACAAAAGATAAGATAATTTATACTAAATTCATATAAACTATAGCAAAAAGAAAAATATAAACTTAAACTTAGTAGATTTAAGAGAAAGACAGTATATATTCACCAAGACAATTCATCAATTTTCCATATTTGATTAATAATAGAGAATTGTTATTGGCACTCTAAAAATCTTATTCTACACTCCAAACGTTTTATATTTGAAAAGAAAAATACACTTGTGAGGAGTGTAAAATGAGATTTTTGGAGTGCCAATAACACTTCTCTAATAATGTTGTATTTATTATATTAAAGGTTGATTCTCCAGGTCTCCTTCTTCTTTACACCTCCCATTTCTAATATTCTCTCTTTCTCAATCTTCCTTCTTTTCTTTCTTCTTTTCTTCTTTCCCTCTCATCCTTTCTCTTCCTTAAATTGCCCAATCGCATAATCTCTCTCTAAATCTCCTGTTGTTTGTGGTTTTGTTTTGGAGGAGAGACAGTGTTGTCAGAGCACACATCTAAGTTCTCTCCTCTTTGTCCTGGTGGCTTGTGAGCAAACTGGACCCCTTTGTGTCAGAAGAAAATCTTTTATCTTGTTCATTTGACTCTCTTTCCTCCTAAAAGTTCACCTCTTTCTAATTTCAAGTACCCGCAACCCTACTGTCCAAACAAACCCTAATTTTTTTCCACAAACATATATAGACACATGAATTCTCCAAACCCTAATTCACTGAAATCTAGGTTCACCAAAGGGTTGGTGAAAGCCCTCATCAGAATAAACAAAAACCACCCCAGATCATCATCATCACCATCAATCTCGTCTTCTCCGAGAGAGATCCGGCGACGATATCATAAAATCAAGACTGCTGCTTATGCATCCATGGCTTGCGCTGTAGGGAAAAGAAGAGCTTGGAGTAGAGCTCTGCTCTGGAAGATCCAAAACCAAGCGTGCAATGGCGGCGTTGTGAGGAGATCAATTAGCAGTAGCTCTCACTACTCCATGAAGAAAATAGTTGTGCAGAACAAGGTAAATGAGCTGCGGAAGGTCGTACCGGGCGGTGAAGGCATGGATACTTGGAGCTTGTTGGAGGAGACTGCTCATTACATGAAGTGCCTTACCACACAGGTAAAGGTGATGAGGACAATTGTGGAAATTTACTCTCCTACTACTTGAGTGATCTTGATCGATAATATATATTCTGATAGCAAGAATAATATTGGAAACAATTGCAGAAAAAAAAAATACAAAAATTTGTATAATTATGCACTT